ATGATTTTGTCCTGGGATATATGATAAAGGTTGTTAATAGTGTTAAAAATTTTTTTTATATATATATATGAAGCAAAAAATTTTTTAAAAAAATGTAGTTTGGTCCAGACAAACATAACAAATTATTAAAAAAGGCTTTGTTGTTCAGTCCTGACAAAGCTAACATATTTTATAAAGAATCTAATCAAATTTTAAGATATGCTAGAAGTTTTCAGGAGAAAAGTTTGATGAATTAATCAAATTTTAACAAGGGTTTAAACAAAAAATTGTAGTTGCATTTGCATTTTAAAAAGTGTAGTGTTGACTGTAATTAACCGATAATTAATCAGTTTAGTCGAATCTCGTTTTAGGGGTTTGGCGAGGAAAAAATTTGATTAAACAAGAAAAATTATTGGTAGGGGGGTAGGGGGGTTTGCCATAAAAAAAATGTATTTTTTTTTAGTTAAATTTTAATTTATATGGTTAAATTTAGTATTATAGTTAATTTAGTTGTTGTAGAAAAAATATTAATATTTTTTTTAGTTTCGTGTGATGAGCACGGACGCGGAGTATTTTGTTTAAAAATTTGCATTAGATGTTTTTTTGAGAATTTTGTTAAAATTTTGTTAAAATTTATCGAAAATTGTATGGGAAATTTTAGGGTTGCGTTCGTGGTGTAAAATAATATGTCTACCAAGCATTAAGACAATAATACCATATAGAGAACTTGCGCGAAGTCCATTGCACTGTTAGTACAGACTAAAACCGTATTGGTAGGAGCACTTGAGATGAGGTCTGAAAGGAAAGAGAAATAAAAAATACCAGCCGCCAGGAAAACCAGTTATGCTATGAGTAAGGGTACGAGGGTAACTAACCCATTAACCAGAGGCCTTGGAAAAGGTGAGAAAGTGGTGATGGAGAGTAGGATGGTCCTGACCTAACAACCAGAGGCCTTGGAAAAGGTGAGAAAGTGGTGCAACCTCATGTTATGGACGTGAGACTAGGGAGGGGGGTCTTATACGCAGGGGTTGATGATTCTCACGTGAGAAGCTAGATTAAGAGATAACCATGTATAAAATACACTTCCGTGTTGAAGAGAATGATTGCAGGTAATGTCTGAATGTAAGATTATGGAGGGTAGTGATTGATGGATATCCATGAGGTTGTACAGTAATGCACGATATACATAAATATACTTAAGTCAGATATATAGGTTAATAGTACTTAAATAATAGTCGTATGGTAAATATATATATGCACGAATAAATAATATGTATTATGTAAAATTTATAGAAGATAGTATATATAGGATATTCATGGGGTAAATATATAATGCATAATTATACATATACGTATAATGTCTTATTTAAAGGATAATGTATATGTAATTTTTCATGGGGTAAATAGGTTAATGCACTATATACATAATAGTAAATAGATCATCGGACATAATTAGTTGGTAGCGGCGAATGGTGTAGGAAAAAGGTGGAGGTAGAAAGCCTCTGGTGACGGCAGGTGGCAGAAGCAGAAAAGCCGCTGGGAGCGGCAGGTGGTGGAGGCAAAAAAGCCGCTGGGAGCGGCAGGTGGTGGAGGCAAAAAAGCCGCTGGGAGCGGCAGGTGGTGGAGGCAAAAAAGCCGCTGGGAGCGGCAGGTGGTGGAGGCAAAAAAGCCGCTGGGAGCGGCAGGTGGTGGAGGCAAAAAAGCCGCTGGGAGCGGCAGGTGGTGGAGGCAAAAAAGCCGCTGGGAGCGGCAGGTGGTGGAGGCAAAAAAGCCGCTGGGAGCGGCAGGTGGTGGAGGCAAAAAAGCCGCTGGGAGCGGCAGGTGGTGGAGGCAAAAAAGCCGCTGGGAGCGGCAGGTGGTGGAGGCAAAAAAGCCGCTGGGAGCGGCAGGTGGCAGAAGATAGTTTAATAAAAATGCTAGTTTTGGGGGCTGGCGATGAGGGGTTTTGGCCTTCTCTTTTGATACCCTAGGAGGGAAGGTCTCATTTCTGGCTTACAAGACCAGTGCTTTAAATTTTAAGCTACTAGGACAATATTATCATTTAAGAAGTTTGTTTTCTGCTAGGGCTGATATTGGTATTAAGATAAGAAAAATAGTAAAGTATAGGATAGAAGCTAGTTGGCCAATAATAATGAATGGGTGTTCTACTGGTTGACCTCCAATTCATGTTAAGATAATAATGTCGGCAACTAAAAATCAAAATAGTAGTTGGGATAGTGGGCGATATGCTAAGGTACGTTGTTTTGAGAGGTGAATTATTGGTGCGATTAAAAGGATAAGAATAGAAAAGAGTAAGGCTAAGACGCCGCCTAGTTTGTTAGGAATTGAGCGGAGAATTGCGTAGGCAAAGAGGAAGTACCACTCTGGTTTAATATGTGGTGGGGTAACCAGTGGGTTTGCGGGGGAAAAGTTTTCAGGGTCACCTAAAAGATTAGGTACAAAAAGAGCAAGAAATAGTAGAATGGTAATAATTAGTATGGCACCTAATAGATCTTTGTAGGAGAAGTATGGGTGGAATGGGATTTTGTCTGTGTTAGAGTTTAACCCTGTTGGGTTATTTGATCCTGTTTCATGAAGAAAAAGTAGGTGAACTATGGAGGTGCCTATAATAAGGAAAGGTAGAAGGAAATGGAAAGTAAAAAATCGAGTTAGGGTTGCATTGTCTACTGCAAATCCGCCTCAAATTCATTCGACGAGGGAGGTTCCAATATAGGGGACTGCGGAGAGGAGATTAGTAATAACAGTGGCCCCTCAGAATGATATTTGTCCTCAAGGTAATACATATCCTATAAAAGCTGTGGCTATAACTAGAAGTAGAAGGAGGACTCCGATGTTTCAGGTTTCAATATAAATGTAAGAACCATAATATAGGCCTCGTCCAATGTGTAGATAAATGCAGATAAAAAATATGGAAGCACCATTGGCATGAAGATTGCGGATAAGTCATCCGTACTGGACGTCTCGGTGGATGTGAGCAACAGATGAAAATGCAGAAGAGATATCTGGGGTATAATGCATGGCTAGGAATAGGCCTGTAATAACTTGAATAATTAAACAGAGGCCTAACAGTGATCCAAAATTTCATCAAGCAGAGATATTAGATGGGGTTGGGAGGTCAATAAAGGAGGAGTTAATAATTTTAATGATGGGGTGGTGTTTTCGTGTATTAAGTGTCATTAAAAGTTTTTAATAGTTGAATACAACGGCGGTTTTTCGGGTCGCAGGTTTTGGTTATAGGCCAAATTAAAATAATGATATATTTGGTTGAGTTTCTTGTAGTTTGTTTGGTAATTAGTTTAATTGGGGTTGCTTCTAATCCATCTCCTTATTTTGGGGCGGGAAATTTGGTGGTTGGTGCTAGTTTAGGTTGTGGAATTTTAATTTTGTTAGGAAGTTCTTTTGTATCACTTGTATTATTATTAATTTATTTGGGTGGGATGTTGGTTGTTTTTGCTTATTCTGTTGCTTTGGCGTCGGATCCATTTCCTGAAATATGAGGTAAGGTTGGGGGGTATTTTGGTGGTTATGTTGTGTTGGTACTATTTTTAATTATAATATTTAGTGAAGGGGCTTTTATTAGTTTAGGGGTTAGTGGTGTGGATTCACAAGGTTTATCCGTTGTTCGTGTGGATTTAAGTGGTGTGTCATTATTATATTGTTTAGGTGGGTGGGGGTTATTGATTTGTGGATGGGCATTGTTGTTGGCACTATTTGTTGTGTTAGAGTTAACTCGTGGGTTAGTGCGGGGGGGTCTTCGTGCAGTTAGGTTCACATAATTGTAATAAAGCATGCTGAGGTAATAATAAAAATGGATAAATAAAATTTTATTAGGCCTTTTTGTGCTAGTGTGTTGGCTTTAATATTAGGAAGATTTAAAGAGACTAGTCCTTTAGGTCCTGATTTTTCTAATCAAAGGAGATCATTAATGTGAAGGGCTATGTTTTGTCCTATAAATAAAGAGGTTAGTGGGATAGTGCGGTGGAGGGTTGAGTTGAAGAAGCCCAGTTGGTTAGAGAATTCATGGTGTTTTGATCGTTTTGTGATTGTGAGTCAGGTTGTCTTTTTTGCAATTTGGAGGGCGAAAAGTGCTCCAAGAGTGGCAATAATAATAGCGGTTAATTTTATGGAGGTTGGTATTGTAGTTGGGGTGGGCTTCGTTGGTAGGAGGGTGGCTATGAGGATTAAACCTGCTACAAGGCTTCCAATGGCAAGACGGATAAGTGGATTAGAAAGGGTTGGAGGTGTATCATTTGTTGTTGATGTTATTGTTCGTGGTGTATTTATTTGAACATAGAAGGTTATTCGTATGGTATAAGTGGCGGTTAATATTGTTGCAAAGAGTGTAATTATAAGGGCTCAGGCGTTTAGGTGAGAGTTGTTTATGGTTTCAATAATTGTATCTTTTGAATAGAAGCCTGATAAGAAAGGGGTTCCTGTTAAGGCAAGATTACCAATTGTTAAACATGTGGCTGTGGTAGGTAGTATTTTTTGTATGCCTCCTATTTTTCGAATATCTTGTTCGTTGTTAAGATTATGAATAATTGCGCCAGAGCATAAAAATAATATAGCTTTAAAAAAGGCATGTGTTGAGATGTGAATAAAGGCAAGTTGTGGTTGGTTTAGTCCAATAGTTACTATTATAAGACCTAGTTGGCTAGAGGTTGAGAAGGCAATAATTTTTTTAATATCATTTTGTGTTAGGGCGCAGAGAGCTGTAAATAGTGTGGTGAGTGCTCCAAGGCAAAGGCAGACAGTTAGAGCTGTTTTATTATTTTGTAAAATTGGGTGCAGTCGGATTAGGAGGAAAATGCCAGCTACGACTATTGTGCTAGAGTGTAGTAGGGCTGAAACAGGTGTTGGACCTTCTATGGCAGCTGGAAGTCATGGGTGTAGTCCGAATTGTGCGGATTTACCTGCGGAGGCAAGAATAAGGCCAAAGAGAGGGAGGAGTGGGGGGTTTTTAGTTTCGATTGTTATTTCTTGAATGTTTCAGGTTGCTAAATGTATTGCGAGTCAGGCAAGGGCTAATATTAGTCCGATGTCTCCTACGCGGTTAAAAATAATGGCTTGGAGGGCTGCGGTGTTAGCGTCTGGGCGGGCGAACCATCAGCCGATTAATATGAAGGATATAATTCCTACGCTTTCTCAGCCAACGAATAGTTGGAATATATTATTGGCTGTAACGAGTGTTAATATAGCTAGTAAAAATACTAGGAGGTATTTAAAAAATCGAGTTATATGTGGGTCCTGTGATATGTATCAGTTGGCGAATTCAAGGATAGATCATGTGACGAAGAGACTAATTGGAATAAATGTTAGGGAGTATATGTCTAAGACAAGGTTAATATTAATATCTATGTTGGCAATGTTGGTTCATGCAAAGTTAGTTGTGGAGGCTTCTATGCCATAGTTTATAAAAATAGCTAGGGGGATAAGGCTAACTTTAAATGCTAGTTGTACAGCAGTTTTTGCGTAAAGTATGCCTCATCCTATTATTAGAGGAATAGGGTTTATGGTTGTGAGGATAGGGTGTGTTAAGATGAATAAGACTGTAAGCAGGGTTGAATGTAGGAGGAGATCGTGCATTTTTACTTCTACTTGGAGTTGCACCAAGATTTTTGGTACCTAAAACCAATGGATTGCTGCTTTCCTATAGAAGTAAGAGGTCTAAGAGTATTATTCTTAGTTATTTGAGTTAGCAGCTCTAATTGTTAATACACCTCTTGGTAAATAAGAAGTTGGGGCTTCTGTTTCTAGAGTCACAGTCTAGTGTTTTGGGTAAACTATATTTACAAGTAAATAGGCCTGAAATTAAGGCTGGTTTTATAATTAAAAGTCCTAAGGGTAATAAGTGTAAAATTAAATTGAGATGTTCTCGGGTGTGGGTGGGGGGAAGGAGTCGAAATTGTGTTGAGATACTTCCTCGTTGGGTTATTAAAAATATATAGAGGGAATAAGTAGCAGTAATAAGGGTTCCAATTCCAGTAATAATAATTGTTGGGGTAGATCAATTAAATAAGGTGGAGATAATAAATAGTTCTCCGAGTAAGTTAATTGTTGGGGGTATAGCTATGTTAGTTAAATTAATAAGTAGTCATCAGGTTGATATTAATGGGAAGGCTAATTGCAGGCCTCGTACAAGGAGGAGGGTTCGAGTGTGTGTTCGTTCATAATTAGTGTTTGCTAGGGCAAAAAGAGCTGATGATGTCAGGCCGTGTGCGATTATTAAGATTATAGCTCCGGTTAATCCTCATGGTGTTTGTACAATAATAGCAGCAGTTACGAGGCCTATGTGACTTACAGATGAGTAGGCGATAAGAGCTTTTAGGTCTGTTTGTCGTAGGCAGATAGAGCTAGTTATCAAAATACCTCAGAGGGCAAGGATTAAAATTGGAAATATTAGGTTTTGAGGGTGGGGGTTAAGTACAGGTGAGATGCGAATTAGGCCGTAGCCTCCTAGTTTAAGTAAAATGGCAGCTAGGACTATTGAGCCAGCGATTGGGGCTTCTACATGTGCTTTGGGAAGTCAGAGATGAAGGCCATACAGGGGCAATTTAACTAAGAAGGCTAAGAGGCAGGCAAGTCAGAGCATTGGGCTAGAATCTGTGGAGAGTAGTTCTGGTTGAGTTATAAATAGAAGTTCTATTGAGGTATGAAAATATTTATTGTTAAAATATAAGAGTACAATTAACAGAGGTAATGAGCTTGCTAGAGTGTAAAATAAAAAATAAAGGCCGGCGTTTATGCGTTCAGCTTGGTTTCCTCAGCGTGTAATAATAATTAAGGTGGGAATTAAAGTTGTTTCAAATAAAATATAAAATAAAATAACCTCTGAGGCAGCAAAAGTTATAATTAAGGTTGTTTGTAATGTTGTTAAAATTATTAGGAAAGTACGTTTTCGGTTTATGGGTTCAGTTTTTAAGTGGTTTTGGCTGGCTAAAATTATGAGTGGTAGTAATCAGCAGGAGAGGATAATTAAAGGGGCAGAGGTGGTATCAATGTTAAAGTATATGGTTGTGTTGGAGGTTTTTAGAAGCATTGGGTGATTAAATAATATAAGACTAAAAAGTGCTAATAGTATAGAATACACGGTTATGGTTGGGAATAGGGTGTTTGAGTTAAGTAAAAAGGCTGAAGGAATTAGAAAGGCAGTTGGGATAATAATTTTTAGCATTTTAGTAAACTTAAGGCTTTTATATGGTCGGTTCCATGTGTTCGAGAAGTAGCAACTAGGAGGGCAAGGCCGGTGCTGGCTTCGCAGGCTGATAGTGCTAAAAGTAAAATGGGTAGAATGGCAGTAGTCGGGGTGTTTGTAGAGGTTGTAAATGTTGCTATTATTAAAAAAAGAATAAGTATTATACCTTCGAGACAAATTAAAATGGATATAAAATGGGTTCGGTGAATAGACAAGCCTAGAAGACCAAGTAGAAATGCGATTTTTAATAGAAAAAGAATCATTGACATGTTAGGGGTTCTAATAGTGTTAGAATCTATTAAGTCGAAATTAATTGTCTTGGTTAGACTAACCCCTATACTCAGCTCAATCTAAACCGCCTTGAGATCATTCGTAAATTAGGCCAGCGGTTAGAAGAAAAATGATTGTTGAGGTTCATACTATTGTTATTGTGGGTTGTGAGAGGTTGACTGCCCATGGTGTTGGAAGTAGGAGAGCAATTTCTAGGTCAAAAAGGAGGAACAAAATAGCTACTAGAAAAAAACGGATGGAGAATGGAAGTCGTGCTGATCCCAGTGGGTCAAACCCGCATTCATAGGGGGAAAGTTTTTCTATGTCTGGTATTATTTGTGGTAATCAAAAGCTTACTAGTATTAAGATAAGGGAAATTAGTGTGGTAATTATTAATATTAGTACAATGTTCATTACTTTTTCCTAGGTTTTACTAGGGTTGGATGATTGGAAGTCATCTATATTAGCTATATTAAAAAAGTAAGAGCCTCATCAGTAGATTGATACATATAGGAATAGTCATACGACATCTACAAAATGTCAATATCAGGCGGCAGCTTCAAACCCGAAGTGGTGGTTTGTTGTAAAGTGAAATAAGGATTGTCGAATGAGGCAAATTATGAGGAATGTGGATCCAATAATTACATGAAGGCCGTGGAAGCCGGTGGCTACAAAGAAGGTTGCGCCATAAACACTATCTGAGATAGTAAATGATGTTTCGTGGTATTCGCTGGCTTGTAGAATTGTAAAGTAGATGCCTAGTAAGATTGTTAAGGATAGTGCTTGAATGGTATCAGTTCGTTTTCCTTCCATCAGAGCATGGTGGGCTCATGTTACTGTTACTCCTGAGGCTAGTAAGACAGCTGTATTTAGTAATGGGACTTCAAAGGCATTTAAAGGATTAACTCCTGTTGGTGGTCACTGTCCTCCAAGTTCAGGGGTAGGGGCTAGACTTGAGTGGTAGAAGGCTCAGAAAAATCCGGCAAAAAATAATACCTCTGAGGTAATAAATAAAATTATGCCGTATCGTAGGCCTTTTTGGACTGGTATTGTATGGTGTCCTTGATATGTACCCTCGCGAACAATATCTCGTCATCACTGCTGTATTGTTAAAAGTATAATAATGAAACCAAGATATATTAGGTTTGTATTGTTGAAGTGAAATCATGCTGCAAGGCCGGATGTTAATAAGAGGGCAGCGATGGCCCCTGTTAGAGGTCATGGGCTGGGGTCAACTATGTGGAATGGATGTGCTTGGTGAGTCATTAGATGTTTTCTTGTAGGTATAGTGTTAAAAGTAGTACGAAGACGTATGCTTGAATTAAAGCAACAGCTATTTCTAAGCAGGTTAATAAGATTAGTAAAATAAGAGTAATTGATGCGGTTAAAGTTATAGAATTTATAAGGGCTAAGACTGCTGTTGAGGTAAGTTGAATTAATAAGTGTCCGGCTGTTAGGTTGGCTGTTAGGCGTACGCCCAGTGCGATTGGACGAATAAGTAAGCTAGCTGTTTCAATTATTACTAACATAGGAATAAGTAGTGTTGGTGTACCTTCTGGGAGAAGGTGGCCCAGTGAAGCGGTTGGTTGGTTTCGTAGACCAATTAAGACTGTTATTAATCAGGTTGGGATGGCAAGAGCTATATTTATTGAAAGTTGGGTGGTTGGGGTAAAAGTATAAGGTAATAATCCTAGGGTATTAAGTAGTGTAAGTATTAGTAGGAGTGCTATAAAAGTACTTGCTCATTTATGTCCTGCAATACTAATGGGTAATATTATTTGTTTTGTGGCATTAATGATGAGTGAGGATTGAATGGTTGAGTAACGATTTTGAATAAGTCGGTTGGTAGAAAATCAAATGGTTGGTGAAAAAAATAAAGCTGGAATAATTAATGGGATTCCTAGTAAATTAGGAATAGCAAACTGATCAAAGAAGCTTAGGGTCATGGTCAGGTTCAGTAGAAGTTATTTGGTTGTTTTTTATGTTGTGGGTTTAAGAAATAGGAGTTAGTGTTAATAATTTTTGAAAAAAATATAATAAGGGTAATTCATACTAGGACAAATATTATAAATCAAGGGGCAGGGTTGAGTTGTGGCATATCACTAAGGGAAGTTATTTCCCTCTCTAGCTTAAAAGGCTAGTGCTGTAGGTTAGCTTCTTAGTGATGAAGAAATTATTATTTTAGATCATGTCTCAAAGTGTTTTAGGGGTGTAGATTCTACAACGATAGGTATAAAGCTATGGTTTGATCCACAAATCTCTGAGCATTGACCATAAAATAGGCCGGGGTAGGAGGTAATTAGGGTGGTTTGGTTCAATCGACCTGGGACTGCATCAGTTTTAATACCAAGTGCTGGAATAGCTCATGAATGCAGGACATCTTCTGCTGAAATTAAAATTCGAATTGGAGATTCTATTGGGATTACAACTCGGTGGTCTACTTCTAATAGGCGGAAATTTCCTGGATTAAGATCACATGTTGGAACTATATAAGAGTCAAATAGCAGACTTTCGTAGTCTGTATATTCATAGCTTCAGTATCATTGGTGGCCAATTGCTTTGATGGTTAGATGGGGGTTATTAATCTCGTCTATTAAATAAAGAATTTGGAGGGATGGAAGTGCAATTAAAATAAGAATAATTGCAGGGAGGATGGTTCAAATTATTTCAACTTCTTGGGCGTCTATTGTATTGGTGTGTGTAAGTTTTGTTGATAATATTAAGCTAATAATATATAGTACTAGGGCACTAATTAGAAAAACGATTATTAATGCATGATCGTGAAAATGAAGCAGTTCTTCTATAATGGGGGAGGCTGCATTTTGGAAGCCTAACTGTGCTGGGTGTGCCACTAAGGTTCACAGGTCTAGTGGCCTGTAATTTAGCACTGACAGAGCTATGTAATTATTTTACTAGAACCTTATAAGGGGAGAAACATAAGAGGATGTGTGACTGGCTTGAAACTGGTTAGAGGTGGTTCAAGTCCCCCCTCCCTTGAGGTTTGTACATAAGTTGATTCTTCGTATGTATGATATGGAGGAGGACAGCCGTGAAGTCACTCTAGGTTTGTGTTTATTAATTCAAGAGTAAGAACTTCACGTTTAGCTGCTAGGGCTTCTCAAATAATAAATATTATTATAATTACAGCTGTGAGGGAAATCAGGGAGCCAATTGATGAAATAGTGTTTCAAAGAGTGTAGGCATCTGGGTAGTCAGAGTACCGTCGAGGCATGCCTGCTAATCCAAGAAAATGTTGTGGAAAAAATGTTATGTTAACTCCAGTAAATATTACGCCAAATTGAACTTTTGTTCATGAAGAGTGTAAAGTGTAGCCCGTAAAGAGGGGAAATCAGTGAACAAATCCGCCTATAATTGCAAATACAGCGCCTATCGATAGAACATAGTGGAAATGAGCAACTACGTAGTAAGTATCATGAAGGACAATATCTAATGAGGAGTTAGCTAGGATAATGCCTGTGAGACCTCCTACTGTAAATAAAAAAATAAATCCTAAAGCTCATAGTATGGCGGCGTCTCATTTAATTGTTCCACCATGGAGCGTTGCAAGTCAGCTAAAGACTTTTACCCCAGTAGGGATAGCAATAATTATTGTAGCTGAGGTGAAGTAAGCTCGAGTGTCAACATCTATTCCCACTGTAAATATGTGATGGGCTCATACAATAAAGCCTAAAAAGCCGATTGATATTATAGCCCACACTATTCCCATATAACCGAAGGGTTCTTTTTTGCCTGCATAATATGTGACAATGTGAGAAATTATACCAAAACCTGGGAGAATAAGAATATACACTTCTGGGTGGCCAAAGAATCAAAATAAATGTTGGTAAAGAATTGGATCCCCTCCGCCAGCTGGGTCAAAAAAGGATGTATTTAAGTTTCGATCTGTTAGCAGTATAGTAATGCCAGCAGCTAAAACAGGAAGAGAAAGAAGAAGAAGTACTGCTGTAATTAGAACAGATCATACAAACAGAGGCGTTTGATATTGCGTTATGTTGGGGGGTTTTATATTAATGCAGGTAGTAATAAAGTTAATTGCACCTAGAATAGAGGAAACTCCGGCTAAATGAAGTGAAAAGATCGTTAGATCTACTGAGGCTCCTGCATGGGCTATGTTTCCAGCTAATGGTGGGTAGACAGTTCAGCCAGTACCAGCGCCTGCTTCGATGCCTGAAGATGAAAGAAGTAATAATAAAGATGGTGGTAATAATCAGAAGCTTATGTTATTTATACGTGGAAATGCCATATCAGGGGCACCAATTATTAGGGGGATTAATCAGTTTCCGAAGCCCCCAATTATAACAGGTATTACTAAAAAGAAAATTATAACAAAAGCATGTGCTGTAACAATAACATTATAAACCTGATCATCACCAAGAAGAGTTCCGGGTTGACTAAGTTCTGTTCGGATTAGAAGACTAAGGGCTGTGCCGACTATTCCAGCTCAGGCACCAAATAATAGATATAAGGTACCGATGTCTTTGTGATTGGTTGAAAACAGTCAACGAACTAATGACACAGGTAGAATGGCCGAATAATTAGGTGGGGGGCTGTAAACCCCCTTATGGAGGTTTAAATCCTCTTTTTACCAACAGCTCCGAGGTGTTACTTCCACGCCAAAATGCAAATTTGGAGAAGCACCCTATAAGTGCCGGGGCTTCCCCCGTTTTTTTTTCAAACGGGGGAAGTAGATATAGGTGGAGGGTGAAAGGATGGAAGCCCGCTGGGTTGGGTTTTTAGCTGTTAACTAAAGTTTTGCAGGATCGAGGCCTGTCCATCTAGTTTAGGCCTTAGCTTAATTAAAGTGTTTGGGTTGCATTCAGAAGATGTATAGTAAAATTATACAGGTCTTAATCAGAAGCTAGGGGTTGTGACCCTATTAGAGGCTTTGAAGGCTTCTGGTTTAGATTTAACCTAAGCTTCTAATAGATTAGTGGTGTGATTGGGATTAATAGAAGCGTAGTAATAATTATAGGGGCTGGGTTAACTGGTTTGGTGGGTTTATATCGTCATTTTATTGGGCTGTTGGATGTATTTGGGGAAATGGTCAGAGTTGAGACATAAGTTAGACGTATATAAAATATTAGGCTTAATAAAGAAGATAGGGCTAGGATGGTTGCTAATGGTAGGAGAAGGTTGGTGGTTAATTCTTTTAAAATAAGTCATTTGGGAATAAAGCCGGTTAGTGGTGGTAGTCCTCCTAGTGCTATGAGTGTAATTATTATAATTGAAGAAAGTGTTGGGGAAGTTGCTCATATTATTCCTAGATCTTTGGTGGTTTTGGTTGTTGAGGTAATAAGAATAATAAATATGGAGGTTGTTATTAGTAAATAAATAATTAAAGTTAAAATAAGGAGTTTTTGGGAAATAAGTGAAATGGAGATTATTCATCCTAGATGTCCGATTGATGAAAATGCTATAATTTTTCGTAGTTGAGTTTGATTAAGTCCAGATCAGCCTCCAATTAATGTGGAGGAAATGGCTAATAATGATAGGAGTATTATTTGGAATTGATTGGAGGTTAAATAGAGCAGTGCTATTGGTGGTAGTTTTTGTCATGTTGCAATAATTAAGGCTGTTATTATATCAGTGCCTTGTATGACTTCTGGTAGTCAGAAGTGCATGGGAGCTAGGCCTAGTTTTATGGCCAGAGCAATTAATAATATGGTAGGGGTTGGTTGTGTTGTAAGTTGAGTAATATCTCAGGTTCCTGTGTTTCATGCATTAATAATACTTGAAAATAAAATGATAGATGAGGCAGTTGCTTGAATAATAAAATATTTTGTTGCGGCTTCGGTAGCTCGTGGGTGGTGGTGTTTAGCTAGGATTGGGATGATGGCAAGGGTGTTTAGTTCTAAACCAATTCAGGCTAAGAACCAATGATAACTGGCGGCTGTAATAATAGCTCCAAGAGCTAAGTTGCAGATTAGGATAGATATGATGTAGGGGTTCATTAGTAAAGGAAGGGTTTGACCAACATTTTTGGGGTATGGGCCCAAGAGCTTTATTAGCTGACTTTACTAGGGGGTAGTATAGTGGTAGTACGAAGAGTTTTGGAGTCTTAAGTGTGGGTTCGAATCCCATTCTTCTAGAGGAGGTGAGGGGTTAGTAAGTCCCTGTGGTTTACTCTATCAAAGTAACCCCTAAATCTCGGGCACACGTCCTGTAAAATTAAGTTAATGGTGGAATACCGGCTAGTGAAATTGGAATGGAAATATATCATAAATAAAGTGCTAGAGTTGCAGGGAGGAATTGTTTTCATAGGAGGTGTATTAGTTGATCATAGCGAAATCGTGGGTAAGAGGCTCGGGTTCATAAGAATCCAATGGTTAGTAGAGTAGTTTTTGTTATTAAGTTAATTGTAAAAAGTTCTGTTTGTAAACTGAGGGTTGGGCTAAAGAATAAAATGCATGATAGTGTGTTTATTATTAGGATATTTATATATTCAGCCAGGAAAAAAAGTGCAAATGGGCCTGCTGCATACTCTACATTGAACCCTGAAACAAGTTCGGATTCTCCTTCTGTTAAGTCGAATGGTGCTCGGTTTGTTTCTGCTAGGGTTGAAACATATCATATTATGGCTAAGGGTCATGTGGGTAAAATCAGTCATATATGTTCTTGTGTAATGATGAGGGTAGGCATTGTAAAGGCGCCGGTTAATATAATAACAGAGAGTAAAATAATGCCTAGAGTAACTTCGTAGGAAATTGTTTGTGCGATAGCTCGAAGGGCTCCTATTAGGGCATATTTTGAGTTGGATGCTCATCCGGACCATAAAATTGTATAGACTATTATACTTGAAAGGGCAAGGAGAAATAGGAGGCCTAGATTTATGTCTGCTAAGGGGTGGGGTATAGGTATAGGAGTTCATATTATAAGGGCTAGCAAGAGGGCTAGAGTTGGGGCTAAAATAAAAAGTATTGGGGATGCATGTGTTGGGCGAATTGGTTCTTTAACAAATAGTTTAATTCCATCAGCAACTGGTTGTAAAATTCCGAAGGGTCCAACTATGTTTGGGCCTTTTCGGAGTTGTATGTAGCCTAGAATTTTTCGTTCAAGCAGTGTTAAAAATGCTACAGCAATAAGGATGGGGATAATGTATGAGATTGGGTTAATAATATATAATATAAAATTCTGCATTATTAAGAAGGGAATTTGCTTCCCTGTAGAAAGATTTTAGGTCTTTTGCATTGCTTGACTCTGCCACCTTAATTAATCTTATTTTGATTGGGTGAGGTTGGCATATTGTCTACTTTAGTAAGAGTCAGTAGGTTTTTATTAGGACGCCTATTTAACATGGGTCCCACTATTCTGGTCCTTTCGTACTGAAAATAGTGCTTCATAGATAGAAACCGACCTGGATTTCTCCGGTCTGAACTCAGATCACGTAGGACTTTTATCGTTGAACAAACGAACCTTTTATAGCGGCTGCACTATAGGGGTGTCCTGATCCAACATCGAGGTCGTAAACCCTCTTGTCGATAGGGACTCTAGAAGAGGATGGCGCTGTTATCCCTGGGGTAACTTGGTTCATTGGTCAGACAAACAAATGTTGCTGGGTCTAAAAATTATTTTTGATATGTTAATCTTAATAAATAAATTGATTTTTGGAGGGTTTTTTTTACTCCAAAGTCGCCCCAACTAAAAATCCAAGAGCCATACTCAGTGGTTTTGGTTTTGAAGCTCCACAGGGTCTTCTCGTCTTATGTGTTTATTCCAGCTTTTGTACTGGAGGATCAATTTCATTGGCTAGTCCGTAAGAGACAGTTTTGTCCTCATTTAGCCGTTCATTCTAGTCCCTATTTAGGGGACAAGTGATTATGCTACCTTTGCACGGTTAGGATACCGCGGCCGTTTAAAGAGTCACTGGGCAGGCGGGACCTTTAATACTTGTAAAGCTAAAGGCTATGTTTTTGGTAAACAGTTGGGACAAATTTTTGCCGAGTTCCTTTTACGGCTTTTTGCCTTTCTTTTATGCATGCCTGTGTTGGGTTAACAAGTTTTGGATGACTTTTTCTAGGATAAATATGTGGTCATGTAATATTGTTAATTATCAGTAGTTTTTCTATTCTGATTTAAGGAGATGCAGAGAGAAATTAGTGTTTCTTATTACTAATTTTAGCATTGGTGTTTCTATAATATATAGAATAGCTCGGAGTATATCAGGAGGTTAATTTGGGCTGTTGAGATTATTTTGGTCATATGCTATAACGCGATTTATGGTGGCTGCTTTGAAGCCTACTTGTATTAAGAGGGTGGGTTTCTCTCAGTTCGGGCTGTATTCCGGTTCAATGGGGCTGTACCCCCATTGATTTTCTTTAGGCAAAAGTAGTGAATTAGGGGTGTTGGTTCGTGTTTGCCTAAAGTTGAACTTAAATTCTTTTATTGAGCAGCCAGCTATCACCAAGCTCGATTGGCTTTTTGCCTCTATTTTCAGGTCTTCCCACTCTTTTGCTACAGGGACGGGTGTGCTCTAAGTTAATAGCTGCCTAAAAATAGCTCGTTTGGTTTCGGGGGGGCAGGCTAAAGGTTCGCTTTGTCTGAAGGGGTTTTGCTAAACCATGATGCAGGAGGTACAGGGGTTGGTCTTTGCTGTTTTATGCTTAAAATTTTTCATTATTCTTTCATTGTTCCCTTACGGTACTTATAAGGCCAATGGTGGGTTTTAATCTCATTTACTGGCCGTAAAAAATGTTTTGGTTATGGGGTGGTTTGGGGCTTTGTGGGTTTTTTTGGCTGAGGTTGTTGGGCTCAAAAAGGTCGTGGGTTGAATCGGCATCTCCCAGTTGTAAGCTGGGTGCTTTATATAAGCTACTCTTTGTTAGTCCAAGCACACCTTCCGGTACGCTTACCATGTTACGACTTGCCTCCTCTAGTCTAAATGATCTTTGTTTATGAAAGTTGTTTTGTTTTGTTGAGGAGGGTGACGGGCGGTGTGTACGCGTCCCAGAGCGTTGTTAAAACAGACACTCTTATCTGTTTTACTACTAAATTCGCCTTCATGCAGTGTTTCATAGTGCAATTCGTGTTTTTTATTATAAAAAATGTAGCCAATCTCTTCCTCAACATCTGCTACACCTTGACCTGACGTATTAGCGTTAAGGCTATTGTGTCTACTATTAGGCCTTCATAGGGTAAACTGTCGACGGCGGTATATAGGCTGAAATATTTGCTAGTTGAGGTTGGGTGGAGCGGGGAATATCGATTATAGGACAGGCTCCTCTAGGTCGATATGGGACACCGTCAAGTCCTTTGAGTTTTAAGTTTTTCACTCGTAGTTCTCTGGCGGAAAGTATTGTATTAGTAACTATCAATGTTCAGGGCTTAGCATAGTAGGGTATCTAATCCTAGTTTGTTTCTAAGCTTTCGTGTGGTCAAGAATATAATATTAAGAATATCTGTATTGGCATTCTCCGTTGTCTTAGTGTTTTACAACTGGACTAGGAATTTTGATATTAAAAATATTATTAATCTCTAGTCACATTTTACGCCGATTTGTCGTTATTTTGGGCCTTTCGTATAACCGCGGTGGCTGGCACGAAATTGACCAGCCCTAAGTTATCATAGTTGGGTCAAGTTTTCACTTATGGCCCAATGTTTATTACTGCTGGTGAGCCCGTGGGGGTGTGGCGAGGCTAGGCGTTATGGGCTTGCTATAGTGCCTGATGCCTGCTCCATTTTGTCTTTTAAGGGGTTTTGGGCATTTTCACTGGATTGTTGAGGCTTGCATGTATAATCTTGATAAAAAATAACGGTAAGCCCAGGACCAAAGCTATTGTTTGTGGAGGTTTTTCTGTTCCTCATCTCGGCTTCTTCAGTGCCGTGCTTTAAAAAATAAGCTACAATAAC